TAGTGCTATAACCCTTGTGGCTGGCTGGTTTCTGTCCTGTTTCATGTGGCCTGTCCCTAAGAACCCCTTGTCAGGAATAGTTCGGGCTGTGGGTGGGTGGGGTATTCCTTGCCGCTGTCTGCCGGAAGCTATTTGCCACTGCTCAGGAGTTCCTAGGCTGTAGTATCCACTAGGGAGGCATGAAGGTGAAAAGTCCCCCTTTCTCAAAGCCAACCTCTGCCTTCCTCCCAAATCAAGCACAACTTGCATCTGTGATGACCTTTTAATTGGTCTGTATTGAAGGGTCTGGAGCAGGCATCCCCAAACTACTGCCAATGGGCCACATGCGGCTCCCTGAGGCCATTTATCTGGCCCCCCGCCGCACTTCAGGAAGGGGCACCTCTTTCATTGGTGGTCAGTGAGAGGAGCCCAGTATGTGGCGGCCCTCCAATGGTCTGAGAGACAGTGAACTGGCCCCCTGTGTAAAAAGTTTGGGGACGCCTGGTCTGGAGGAAGGAGAGGACGGGAAAGGGTGGAATCAGGCCTTGTGCCTTGTTTGGGCATCTTGCTCCCATGACCTGCAGAGGGGTGAGAGGGCATTGCCTGGGTCCTGTAGCCGCATGGAGGCTCCCTGCATCTTTGGAGGGTCTCCTGAGTTACTCCACCCTGCAGAGTAATGAGGTTTCTCTCCTCCTATTCCTATTCCTCCTATTCTTGCAAATTCTGTTGTCATCTGCTGACCGTCAGTGGCTTTCCTCTGCCCATTTTCTGCTGGCTCTGCAGAGGGAGTCTTGAGTCTGCTCTGAGGAGGGGTGAGGCTGGAGAGTGCTGGGGAGCAGGGAGTGCAGAGGCTTACACTCCAGGCTGGGGCTGATTTCTCCTGAACCATGGGCAATCAAATCTGCCTTACCATGGTGAGAATTAATTCCTTCTCAAACTCCCCTTCAGATAGGTGAGAAATCTGTGTGCCTCCTATTAACATAATTGTGACCCCATTTCTTGTGAAATGACAGCCCTGGTCTGATTATGCTCAGGGAGCATCCCCAGTCTGTGCCCAGGGCTGCGTGACGAAAGCTTCTTCACATTAACTGGCAAATGAACAGTCCACACTGTCTCTGTAATCTGCAGACAATGGCCGTGTTTTATCCTAACCACAGGATGGGGTCAAGAAGAAATTCTAGTGTCGCCCACCACAGCTAGTTAAGTACATGCCCAGCAGCATTTAAAATGAGGGGAGGAGGAGCTTTGCACAGGCATGGCTGGAAGGACAGTAGGCCTGGAGCTGGGGTGCCTGGGCCCAGCCTGCCATATGCTAACTGTGCTGTTGGCATCAAATCCCTTCCTCGCAAAGACAGCAGAGGGCTGGTCCTTTAGACCTGAGACTTGTTCATTCTAGGCTATCATGGAGTACAGCCTTAGAAGCTATAAACTGGGTTTCCATTTTCTGTGTTGGAGGAAGAGTCTAGAAAGTTCTCTAGAAGACCGAGTTAAGAAGCCAAATCAGTGGTTGGATAAAGGCCCTTCCTCAAAATATGGCACTGCAGAAGGCACTAGAAGAGCTCTCCTCCCTGGAGGCAAGGCAGTGGGCTGAGCCGAAAGCCTAGCCTGGCCATATGCCTAGTTGGAGATCCCTGGAGGGCATCTGGGACTGGGGGTGAGACAGCATGTCTGTTTCCTTGTTGAGTCATTCTAGCTCATCAAATATCTATCGAGCACCTCTGATGACCAAGGTGGCATGAGAGGGTGGAGAGAAGTCTGTAGTCAAGGGAGCTCCATGTGCACCCAGCTTAGTCACTAACTGGCACGGGCCTGCACAAATGGCCCCTCGTCCCAGCGATGTGGCCATGCACCCTATATGCCTCATCCTGCGAGGATGAATGAGGCAGTGTTTCTGACACAGAATGGGACTCCCCCCATATCTGCCCCCTGCCCTCTCTCTGCACAGCAACATTTGAGACATCACAGAGGACACTGAGTCCATTCAGAAAATGCCACTGTCTTTAAATACAAACAGGCCCATGGCAGGGCAGCTGGTGGGTGCCCAGAAATGCCATTGTTGCAGAGTAGGAAGTAACCAGGGCCCCACGGCCTGGGGACTCAGAGGAGTAAGAGTCCTGAACAGAAAGAGTTTCACGGATGGTGCTGAGTTGAGGCTGGAGTGGCTTGGCATTGAAGGAAAAGGAAGGAAGATCATTTTGGGACAGAGAACAGTTTGGTTCAATGCATGCACGCACAGAAGCTCAGAAAAGAAAGCAAGCTTGTGTGGTGGGGTGTGTTCAGAACACTCCATACAAGATGGTATTTCTGTGTAGGCACATGGAGGGAGGGGTGTTTGGATCCCAATGATTTGAGTGTTGGGGAACACGGATGACATCTGGGGGAGCTAGTCTCAGCTCTCCACTTATGGTGCAGCATGTGGGGGCAACCTTTTCTTCCCTGTCATTCTCCAGGACTAGACACTATTATTCAGTTTCCCTTAGCTCTTATGCGCTGACTTGGGGCTGGAATAGTTGTCCTTTTGTGACGTAGTTAACTACCCACACACCAGCCTTCCCACCCCCTCTCTCTGTCTATTGTTCTCCATAGTGTCTCTTCATCCCCACACCACGTGTTCACTGCTTTCTGTTCCCCACATGAGAATCTCAGCTCTGGGAGGGTGGGGACCTCACTGCTGAGTTTGCTACTCTACCCCAGCCCTTAGAGGACTGCAGCAACTGTAGGCTTTTGATGCATATCCGAAGAATCAGTGTGTGAATGGCAGTTGGATGGATGGTTCCTTGATCACCTGTCATGGGGCAGATTCATGTGGCAAGATGTCAAGTATTTCATCCAAGCCAGAATTCACATTCATTCAAGACCTTGCAATGCCCAAGGGTAGATAGCAAATATTGTAGGATGCCCAAAGCTCCCAAGAAAATGATAAAAATGACCCTGGAGTTATGCTAAGGGCCACCCTGGCAGGCTGCCCCCTCCTGTGCCTCCTGATAATCGTGGCTGGTTGTGGGGTGTTGAGTGCCATGGTGATGGCAGGGTTGAACTGGATGGTGATGATAAACTATCACAAAGGGAGAATGGGTTTTTCAGAGAGCCTTGGTTCAAATGAAGTCTTTTGAAATAAAACGGAAAGGAGTACACTCTTTTCCCATGGTGTTGGTAGGTGTTAAGATGTGTTAGTCCATTTGCGTTGGTATCTGAGGCTGGGTAATTTATAAAGAAAGGGGGTTCTTCAGTCTGTACTGCATGGTACCAGCCTCTGCTCCTGCTGAGGACTTAGGAAGCTTCCAATCATGGTGGAAGGTGGAAGGGACCCAGGGTATCACATGGCAAGAGGAAGCAAGGGAGAAGAGGGGTGCCAGGCTCCTTTAAACACACCAGCTCTCTCTTGAACTAATAGATTGAGAACACTCATTACCTTGAAGATAGCACCAAACCATTCATGAGGGCTCCACCCCTATGGTCCAAACACCTCCCACTAGGCCCATCTCCAACACTGCAGAATCGCATTTCAGCATGAGATTCAGAGGAGACAAACATCCAAACCATATCATATGTCAGTAACATTTCCTGAACTTCAGCCGACAGCAGGACTGATTGCTGTCCTCTGTTACCCAGGTCTCCGTGGCACCAGAGATATTAAGAGAAGGAAGGATCCTGATGGAAAATGCCTCAGAGAATCAGTGCTTATGAATAGACATCCGATTTCCCCCCGCTACCAAGTGTGTGGGACCTCTGTGTGGATAGCCTTCCCCCTTACTTCCTGAGGCTATGGGAGCCTTTGCTTGGTGTCCAGCCCCATGCTATGCTCTGAGGTGGGCTTGGGGGTCTCTGCTGCCAGGAGTTCACAGGTAGTCAGGGAGGTAACGCACAAACCAGGTCAAGACAGGTAGAGGGGCAGGAAGGGGCAGCAGGAGGGAGCATGGTTAGGGTGGGAGGACACAGAGGCTGACTCCTGAATGCAATTGCAGAGACTCAAGACTTAGAGCAAATTTCTAAAGCTTCTTCAGACTGTGAGCTTCTTCACAAGGTGAGGAAAGAAGAGAATTCCAAGCAGAGAAAACAGCAAGTGGAAAGGTGAAAAGGCAGTGTGTGTGCACGTATGTGTGTGCATGTGTGCCTGTGTATTGTGTGTGAGAACACGTGTGCATGTGGGCCTGGTGCACACGAGCATGTACATGTGTGTGTGTGTCCACGAGTGAACTGATGAAGTTTCTGAACAGTGACATGAGGGAGGCGGGTAGAAGGAGGGAGGAGGCGAGAGGAGAAGGAGCTGGTGAGGGAGGTGAGGTGCAGGCTGCGAAGGCCTTGAATTTCTCTGAATATGCCAGGAAGCCCCTGAAGGATTTAAGGGCTGGTGTGATCTGTTCTATATCAGAAAAACATTCCTGGCAGCAGAGGAAAGAATAGATCAGGGGGTGAGGCCAGAGGCAGGGTCGCTCACTAGCAGGCTGTTGAAAGAAGCCAGAAGAAGGGGTAGCAGAAGCCCCATCAAGGCTGTGGCACTGAGGATATGGACAGGGGATGGCTGGAATGGCAAGAGCCTGGTGATCGATCGACTGGTGTGTGAAGAGAGGGCCTCTGGGGAGAAAAGAGTCCAGGACACTCCAGAATATCTAGCCTGCTGGCAGGAAGGTTATGTGTGGAGACATTACCCAGGATGGGGTCCCTGGAGGAGACCTAGTCCCGGGGCAGGGCAGGGACAATTGGCAGCCTGGGCGGGTGGGAGGTGAAATCACTGCGTGGTATTTAGGTGTCCTGTTCTGGGCCTGACCCAGGTTTGCTTGGTAAAGTCCACTTCTGAGCTCTTTCCTCTTCCCCTTTGCCTTTCTGTTTTCATTCCCTTCCTCCCTGGTATAGTTTCCCACTCTCCTCCTTTTCCCTTCAGCAGAGATCTCAAGATAAATAGCTGGGGAAGAGGAGCTGTGGAAACGTACAATCTGGGAAAGTTATTAATCCAGGATTCTAATTATGGTGTTGCCCTCTGTCTCTTGCATGGTAACAAGCCAGACTCAACTGCTTGAGCTAAAAGCAAGTTCAGCGTTTCCTTCAAGCAGCACCGTGGATGGCTTCCTGCCAGAACCTTTAGAGCAAGCAACCCACACCCATGGCCCAGGGTGTCTTCCCCAAGAGGGGACGATCTGTCTGCCCCTCACTATGTTCTCCAAATAGGTAAGACCCATGTGGCCAAGCATATGATTGGCAGCGAAGTGCACATCAACATGGCAGCCCCAGCATTCAGCAGCTGAGGTCAGCTGTTAAGCCAATGCATTTTATTTATCTGCCTAACTGGCACCGTGACCTCTGCTGGAGCCCTGGGCTGGGCGGGGAGGGGAGCCCTCACCTCTGGCATGGAAGAAGGAGCCCTGGCTCAGGAGACCTTTCTTTGAGCAACTGTTCTGTGCAGGGCCCTGGACTCAGTGCTGAGGATGCACCATGGATCAGACGGAGGCTCACAAACCTCAATCATTTCTTTGGCCTGAGGTCACTGCAGCTCAGAGGAGGTGCTGTTGACCTTGACTGCAGTGAGTGGAGTGGGGAAGGTTAGAAAAAGTTGCTTCTTGTTATTGGTTGTTTCTAAGTTGCTTCTACTGCCTCTGTTGGGCTTCGCAGCTCTCTCACCACCTGTGTAACAAAGTCTCTATATGAAATTCCCTTTGTTTGAACTATTGAGCACAGTCTTGTCTATTTGACAGGACGCTGACTCATACAGGTATTTGATGAGGGTGGAACACAGGTGGGGGAAAGGTATAAAAGATGAGGGTGTGTGGTAGGCAGACCAGTGTGACCTGAAGATGACTATGCCTGAATTTCTGTGACCGGTGACTATGTTACCTTACATGGAAAAAGGGTTAAGGATCATTCAGTTAAGGATGTTGAAAGTGGGAGATGAGAGGGTTTAGAAGATGGCCAAATAGAAATGGCTCTGGTCTGAAGTTTCCGACGAGATCAAAGCAGAAGGCAGGTGATTTCTGCATTTCCATCTGAGGTACCCAGCTCATCTCACTGGGACTGGTTAGACAGTGGGAGCAGCCCACGGAGGGTGAGCTGAAGCGGGGTGAGGCATCGTCTTACTCGGGAAGTGCGAGAGGTCAGGGAACTCTCTCTCCTAGCCAAGGGAAGCTGTGAGAGACTTTGCCATGAGGGATGCTGCATTCTGGCCCAGGTACTATGCTTTTCCCATGGTCTTCACAACCTGCAGACCAGGAGATTTTTTCGGGTGCCTATGCTATCAGGGCCCTGGGTTTCAAGCACAAAACTGGGCACCTGTTTGGGCAGACACAGAGCTAGCTGCAGGAGTTTTTTTTATACCCCAGTGGCACCTAGAATGCCAGTGAGACAGAGCTGTTCAATCCCCTGGAAAGGGGCTGAAGCCAGGAAGCCAAGTGGTCTAGCTCAGCGGATCCCACCCCCACGGAGCCCAACAAGCTTAAATCCACTGACTTGAAATTCTCACTGCCAGCGCAGCAGTCTGAAGTAAACCTGGAACCCTCGAGCTTGGTGGAGGGAGGGTGGTCCACCATTACTGAGGCTTGAGTAGGCGGTTTTCCCCTCACAGTGTAAACAAAGCCGTGGGGAAGTTTGAACTAGGCAGAGCCCACTGTAGCTTGGCAAAGCTGTTGTAGCCAGAATGCCTCTCTGGATTCCTCCCCTCTGGGCAAGGGCATCTCTGAAAGAAAGGCAGAAGCTCCAATCAGGGGCTTATACATAAAACTCCCATCTCCCTGGGACAAAGCACCTGGGGGGAAGGGTCTGCTGTGGGCACAGCTTCAGCAGACTTAAACGTTCCTGCCTGCCAGCTCTAAAGAGCAGCATATCTCCCAGCACAGTGCTTGACCTCTGCTAAGGGACAGACTGCTTCCTCGAGTGGGTCCCTGATCCCCATGCCTCCTGATGGGGAGATGCCTCCTGGCAGGGGTTGGCAGACACCTCATACAGGAGAGCTCTGGCTGGCATCTGGTTGGTGCCCCTCTGGGATAAAGCTTCCAAAAGAAGGAACAGGTGGCAATCTTTGCTGTTCTGCAGCCTCTGCTGGTGATAACGGGCAAACAGGATCTGGAGTGGACTCCAGCAAACCCCAGCATACCTGTAGCAGAAAGACCTGATTGTTAGAAGGAAAACTGAAAAAACAGAAACAAAAAGGACATCAACATCAACAAAAAGGACACCCACACAGAAACCTCATCCGAAGGTCACCAACATCAAAGGCCAAAGGTAGATAAATTCGTGAAGATGAGGAAAAACTAGCACAAAAAGGCTGAAAATTCCAAAAACCAGAACGCCTCTTCTCCTCCAAAGGATCACAACTTCTCACCAGGAAGGGAACAAAACTGGATGGAGAATGAGTTTGACAAATTGACAGAAGTAGGATTCAGAAGGTGGGTAATAACAAACTTTTTTGAGCTAAAGGAACATGTTCTAATCCAATGCAAGGAAGCTAAGAACCTTGAAAAAAGGTTAGAGGAATTGCTAACTAGAATATCCAGTTTAGAGAAGAACATAAATGACCTGATGGAGCTGAAAAACATAGCAGGAGAACTTTGTGAAGCATACATTGTATCAATAGACAAATTGATCAAGCAGAAGAAAAGATATCAGAGATTGAAAATCAATTTAAGGAAATAAAGCACGAAAACAAGATTAGAAAAAAAAGAATGAAAAGGAATGAACAAAGCTTCCAAGAAATATGGGACTTACGTGAAAAGACCAAACCTACATTTGATTGGTGTACCTGAAAGTGACAAGCAGAATGGAACCAAGCTGGATAACAGTCTTCAGGATATTATCCAGGAGAGCTTCCCCAACCTAGCAAGACAGGCTATTTCCTGTTCAAATTCAGGAAATAAAGAGAACACCACAAAGATATTCCTTGAGAAGAGCAACTCCAAGACACATAATTGTCAGATTCACTAAGGTTGAAATGAAGGAAAAAATGTTAAGGGTAGCCAGAGAGAAAGGTCAGGCCACAAAGGGAAGTCTATCAGATTAATAGTGGATCTTTCTGCAGAAACCCTACAAGCCAGAAGACAGTGGGGGCCAATATTCAACATTGTTAAATAAAAGAATTTCAACCCAGAATTTCATATCCAGCCAAGCTTAGCTTCATAAGTGAAGGAGAAATAAAATCCTTTACAGACAAGCAAATGCTGAGAGATTTTGTCACCACCAGGTCTGCCTTATAAGAGCTCCTTAAGAAGCCACTAAATATGGAAAGGAAAGGAAAAACTGGTATCAGCCACTGCAAAGACACACCAAATTGTAAAGACCATAGACACTGTGAAGAAACTACATCAACTAAAGGGCAAAATAACCAGCTAGCAGCATAATGAAAGGATTAAATTCACATATAACAATCTTAACCTTAAAAGTAAACAGGCTAAATGCTCCAATTAAAAGACATAGAGTGGCAAATTGGATAAAGAATCAAGACCCTTCAGTGTGCTGTGTTCAGGAGACCCATTTCGCATGCAAAAACATGCATTGGTTCAAAATAAAGGGATGGAGGAATATTTACCTCCAAGAAAAAAAAGCAGGGGTTGCAATCCTAGTCTCTGATAAAATAGACTTTAAAACAACAAAGATAAAAACAAAGAAGGGCATTACATAATGGTAAAGGGATCAATGCAACAAGAAGAGCTAATGATCCTAAATATATATGCACCCAATACAGGAGCACCTAGATTCATAAAGGAAGTTCTTAGAGACCTAAAAAGAGGCTTAGACTCCCACACAATAATAGTGGGAGACTTTAACACCCCACTGTTACGATTAGATCAATAAGACAGAAAATTAACAAGGATATTCAGAACTTGAACTGAGCTCTGGACCAAGTGGACCTAATAGACATCTATAGAATGCTCCACCCCAAATCAACAGAATATACATCCTTCTCAGCACCACATCACACTTATTCTAAAATTGACCACATAATTGGAGGTAAAACACTCCTCAGCAAATGTAAAAGAATGGAAATTATAACAGTCTCTCAGACCACAGTGTAATCAAATTAGAACTCAGGATTAAGAAACTCACTGAAAACCGCACAACTACATGGGAACTGAACAACGTGCTCCTGAATGACTACTGGGTAATTGATGAAATTAAAGCAGACATAAAAAGGTTCTTTGAAACTAATGAGAACAAAGATACATGTACCAGAATCTCTGGAACACAGCCAAAGCAGTGTTTAGAGGGAAATTTATAGCACTAAATGCCCATAGGAGAAAGCAGGAAATATCTAAAATCAACATCCTAACATCACAATAAAAAGAACTAGAGAAGCAAGAGCAAACAAATTTGAAACCTAGTAGAAGACAATACATAACTAACATTAGAGGAGAAATGAAGGAGACAGAGATACAAAAACCTCTTCAAAAAATGAATGAATCCAGGAGCTGATTTTTTGAAAAGATTAACAAAATAGATAGACTGCTAGCCAGACTAATAAAGAAGAAAAGAGAGAAGAATCAAATAGACACAATAAAAAAAGATAAAGGGGATATCACCACTGATCCCACAGACATACAATCTACCACCAACAGAGAATACTATAAATACCTCTACACAAATAAACTAGAAAATACAGAAGAAATGGATAAATTCCTGGAAACATACACCCTCCCAAGACTAAACCAGGAAGAATTTGAATCCCTGAATAGACCTATAACAAGTTCTGAAACGGAGGCAATAACTGATAGCCTACAAACCAAATAAAGCCCAGGACCAGATGGATTCACAGCCAGATTCTAGCAGAAGCACAAAGAAGAGCTGCTATGATTCCTTCTGAAACTATTCCAAACAATAGAAAAAGAGGGACTCCTCCCTAACTCATTTTATGAGGTCAGCATCATTCTGATATCCAAACCTGGCAGAGACACAACAAAAAAAAAAAAGAAAATTTCAGGCCAATATCCTGAAATTTTGTGATGTGAAAAATCCTCAATAAAATACTGGCAAACCAAATCCAGCAGCACATCAAAAAGCTTATCCATCAAAATAAAGTTGGCTTCATCCCTGGGATGCAAGGCTGGTTCAACATACATGAATCAATAAAACTCATCCATCACATAAACAGAACCAATGAGAAAAAACACGTGATTATCTCAATAGATGTAGAAAAGATCTTCAAAAAAATTCAACACCCCTTTCATGCTAAAAACTCTCAAACTAGG